GTCTGCAAGTCACCAGGACCTGATTAAATGCATCCTAGAATACTCAAGGGGCTGATAGAGGAGTTATCTGAGCCTTTAGTAATCATCTTTGAAAAATCATGGAAGTCAGGAGAGATTCCAGAAGACTGGAAAAGGGCAAATATAGTGCCCATCCATCAAAAAGGAAATAAGAACAAACCAGGAAACTACAGACCAGTCAGTTTAACTTCTGTGCCAGGAAAGATAATGGAACAAGTAATTAAGGAATTCATCTGCAAACATCTGAAAGAAAATAAGGTGATAGATAACAACCAGCACGGATCTGTAAAGAACAAATCATGCCAAACCAATCTGATAGCTTTCTTTGATAGTATAACAAGTCTTGTGGATGAGGGAGAAGCAGTGGACATGGTATACTTAGACTTTAGTAAGGTGTGATCCGGTCTCACGTGATCTTCTTATCAATATACCAGGCAAATACAACTTAGATAGGACTACTATAAGGTGGGCGCACAACTGGCTGGATAACTGTAGTTATTAATGGTTCACAATCATGAAAGTAGTTATTAATGGTTCACAATCATGCTGGAAGAGCATAACAAGTGGGGTTCTGCAGCGGTGAGTTTTGGAACTAATTCTGTTCAATAACATCAATGATTTAGATATTGTCATAAAAAGTACGCTTATTAAGTTTGCAGATGATACCAAACTGAGAAGGGTTGCAACAGCTTTAGAGAATAGGCTCATAATTCAAAATGATCTGGACAAACGGTCTGAGTTACGCAGTTACACAGGAGCTTTGAAAGCATGGAATAGATAGATAACCCTCTGCTTCACGTTTTATAAAAGAAGAAAAAAAGCAAATGCTTTCAATAGCTAAAGTGATGCTTGCCCTTTCAATCTGCTTTTGCTGCTGCAAGTGGCCAGAGTGAACATTTTCCCAAATAAAACCCATCCCTTGAAATTAGTCATAGGTAGGGCCCTACCAAATTCACAATCTACTATGGCCCATTTCACAGACATACAATTTGAAAATTAGTAAATTTCATGCTTGTAAACTGTTTAAACCTAAAATGTCATGGTATTGTAACCTGGGGGCCCTGACCCAAAAAGATGGGGGGGGGGGCACAAAACCTGTTGTAGGGAGGTCATGGGATTGTCCCCCTCACTTCTGTGTTGCCTTCTGAGCTGTGCTCTGAAGGCATCAACCACAGGAGGCTCCAAGAGGTACATGTGGGTCTTATCTCCCCCTGTGCTGCAGGGAACACTCCAGCTAGGGGCTCCTCACTGCTAGTCCTGACTGGCTTAGAAGGGACAATACTTAGCTCTCTCTGCACAGCAGCAGCAAGTGCTACACCCTCTGCCCCACAATCAGCTGCAGGAACCTCAGGCTGCCACTCAATCTCAGGCACCACGAAGTGGATCTGGTCTGGTCCACCACTCCCACAGCCAGAGCAGTTTGCAGGGGACAAGCCCTGTCCATCCACTGCCCAATCAGAACTATGAAGCCTCCTTTAATGGTACACTCCTAGGAACAAGGGAACATCAGATTTCACAGGGAAGGGCTTATTCCATTTTTTTCACAGCTGTGAAATTGGTAGGACCCTAGTTATAGAGCACCACAACCATGCATGCAAT